CCGAACCCAGAGCCTGGGTTCGCAAGGAACTCTTCCTTTTTCATTTAAAAATTAGTGAAGAAAGAGAAAAGCACGTAAAATTGTCTGTGTCTAGGTTCATCCCCTGCAAGTCACAGTCATCCATAAAAAACACACACAGCCTATAAAACCCACCATTCTTGATGTTGTCCATATTTATCAAAACTCAACAAAACAAGCTCATTTTCCTGAACCCCCTTTTCTTCCCCTACTCACTCCACTCCAATAATAATCTTACATCTTCCCCTTTCCCTTCCCCATCGTCCTCCGAGGAAAAGAAGAAGAAGAAGAAGCAAAACACGTTGGTTCTCTCTCTTTAATTGCGCCAATGCTTGCCCTTTTTGCCAAAACACCTCTCCTTTCTCCCTCCTTGAACGGTTCCCTTACTACCCATTTCGTCTCCACCCCTAAATTGCCGGTTTCTCTTAGTTTTAGGCCCAATGCCAGACAAAAAGGGGTCGGGGTCCGAGTCAGGGTCGGGGCAGGTTTGATCGAATCGGATGGCGGCAAGCTGGTGGAGCTCCTTGTGGAGGATTCGAAACGGGAGGCGGTGTCGCTTCCTAGAATCAGGTTGACGAAGAACGACCTGCAATGGGTGCACGTACTGAGCAAGGGCTGGGCAAGCTCGCTCGGCGGATTCATGAGAGAATCCGAGTTCCTCCAAACTCTTCATTTTAACTCGCTCCGGCTGGATGACGGGTCCGTCGTTAACATGTGGGTGCCGATCGTCTTGGCAATCGATGATTCGCAGAAGCATAACATCGGGGAGTCCACCCGGGTCGCTCTCGTTGACTCTGCTGACAACCCCATCGCCATTCTTAGATGGGGGTGGAGTTGGGATCAAGGTTCCGAGTCTCGGACTCTGATAAGGTTTTGGTAAGCGAGGCGATGAAGAGAATATTGCCCAAGTGAGCTGATGGGTTTTTGAGAAGAACAGAGGAGGATGAAGATAAGGTGGCTCCTCCATGATGCATTGCATTGCGAGCTGGGTTCCTCGTGAACTCAGGCTCTTGGGTTCGCCTGGAAGTAAAAGAAAAAATAGATAAAAAAAAGGCTAGAGGAAGGAGAAGCCAGAAAAGAAAACAAGGGTATATCAGTAATTAAAAGTAAAAAATTTAACATGTCTTCAATTTTTACCATGTGAATTTTTCACGTAATTTTAAAAAAAAAAAATGAGTGTTTCTGTTAATTAACTTGTCACATCAATTAAAATTTAACAGAAAGACTAAAAATGAGCTGGGATTGTAAACAATAATGGCTAAAAAAGAGATTTTTTCTATATAAGAACAAAAAAAAAAACTTTTTTTTATAGTAGAGGGATCAAAAAAGGTATTAAACCTAAAAATAATAAAGTTAATTTTTTAATTTAA